TGGTATCATCAACCAGGTCTCTCAGGCGAGATAAGTGGTGCAAGGCCTTTTGAAGAGACCTAGTAATAGGAATCATACTTTCCTTCAATTGTAATTTAGAGAAATCATCCTCTGAAATCTCTTCTTTTGGATCTGTAGTTCTATTCTGATTAAAACTTTCTTGTACTGCTTGAAGATTAAATAACATTTGTTTCAAAGCTTCAACAGGACCATGATGTTTGCCTCCAGAAAGGGTAGAGCTCTGATTATCATTATTTAAAAAGTCTTCAAGAACCTCTTTAGCATACTTTTCACTTGAAGTTTGTTGAGGACTATCATTAGAATTAACAGGAACAGGAGATTTGAAAGTAACAGGAATATTTTCCCATGATCTTTCAGCTTCAAGTTTATCTAATGAACAAGGACTGTCATCCTTTTCCACAGACTTTGGTAATTCTTCAGTACACTGATCCAGATTTTTCTTGGCCTTCAGGATAAGCAGTTCAATTTTGTCACCACTGAATGGCTTTTTGGATTGTCCTGAGAGAAGTGGATTCTCATACTGACATTGGCTATGTTCAGAATCACATCTGTATTCATTAACTAATCCTTTATCATCACTCAAGTAATTTGAAAAATTTGAGGGCTCAAAAGAATATTCACAACAATCTAACTTATTTGTAAGCCGAGAAGTTCTTTGTGCCTGATAACTATGTCTAGGGGAAGAATGGTCTTCTTTAAATACTTTATAAACCTTTTGACTACTTGCATCAGGTAGCAAGTCTTGATTGTGGAGCCAGACTGGGTATTTGAAATCAGGTAAACTACTTATCCCTGAAACATTGAGGTCAGATTTCTGGCTAGTGAACCATCTTGGATAATTCTTTTCAAGACTGTGTTGTGAACTCTCTTTCAATGATGATTTCTTGGGAAAAGATAAAGATGATTCAAAAATACATTTATTGGTCCTATTCATAAGTTTTGGGCTTTTTAGTTTACTACATTGCTTTCCATTTATATTTGTGTCTACAACACGTGTAACTAAGTTATCCTTGCCCATGGAAGTGCAGGAATCTTGAAAATTCAGATGCTTTTTAATGGCTGAGGAACCCAGTCTTCCAGTGCATTTCTTGTTTTTCTTGCATAGTTTTACTGGTCCAACATCAGTGAAAGAAAATAATCCATCTGCTGGAAGTCTTAACAGATCATCAGTTGTTAGGCTAATGGAATCTATGTCATTAACAATCTCTCTTCTATATGATAAGGAGTTTGAGTGCTTTTTGTGATCAAGATTTTCAAAAGCATTGTTTGGTTTATAAATATATTTGGAGAATTGAGGCACATTCGCAGATCTCTTATCACTGCTAATTTTTCCAGTGCTTGTATCAGAGTATATTTGGCTTAAATCAAAATCATCAATGTAGGCCTGCAGAGCCTGAGAAGCAGAACTGTACAGTTTATCCTTATAGTGAAAAGGGCCATCAGAGTTGGAAGAATTACCACCATTCAGATTGCAGCTTGCCAGAAGGG